TTTTTGATAATTTGAAATGTAAACGAGCGTCTCTTGTCTGAAAGTAAATTTTCATTCCTGCAGAAGCTTCTTTCAACGTCTACTGATGTTATAGGTGTGTACTTGAAAAAGACGGTCTCACTTGCTGACAATTCTTCTTCAATTTGAAAAGATGTTGCTTCACCTGTTAATATCCTATAGATTTTCTTCATTGTTTGGAAACCAGTGTAATAATGAAAATTGATAAAAAATAATAAAAATTGGAAAAAATTAACAAAAAACTTTAAAAAATGCATTAAAATGCAAAACATGCCCCAAAATTTAAAGAAAAATGCCCTATAAATCTAAAAAAATGCTCTAGAAGACAAAAAATGTCCAAAAATGCAAAAAATGCAAAAAAATGCAAATGTCATCAAAATCCGGGCCTTAGTAATTACACTTGTTATATAAAGTATTAATTACGCATCGTATGTATTTTTAATCACACATACTTTTTAAGAGATAAGTTAGATATAAGAGACAGAGATAAGAGATAAGCCCAATTTAGTTTGTTTTTACTGCTTTATTTCTTTCATCGTATTTTTTTGAACTGATAAAAATAATATGATTTCTAATAGAAGCGTTAAATTAAAAAGTGTAGCTGAATACATTGGAAAGATTATTTTAATAAAATAAAAAGTTACACAGACAATTCGTGGTATAAAGTGCTTTGACCTTTTAAAACAAACTGATTAATCTAATATATTTTTTTACATATATCTAATTTCAAAATTAAGTAAGGCATTCCCGAAATAACAAGTTGTAAGCTAAGGGGTCATGGAGGTTAAGACTCTATAATTCAATGCCCAACAACATGATTAAAGCAATGCGATCTGCTCTACGCACAAGCCACCTTTACTCCCCAAACAAAATTGGTACTTATCGATCGGAAGTACGAAAGGAAAGTTTAAGCAGCTCTCAATCTTTCGCAATGAAAGCTCAGACTACTCAACCTTTTAAGAAAACTTATTTAAATATTACTTATTACAAATAAATAAAATGGACTGAATTCAACGCAGAAACTAACATTGTTTGAGAGCATTAATTAATTTTTAATATTCTTTCTTTTTAACTGAAAGCAGCTTAATCCGGTTAAAAAAATATAAATGTTTTTTTTTTAAATACAATGCAATTATTTTAGAATATGAAAAGAAGTTTAATTGTAAGATTAAGAAGCTCGAAGTTATACAGAATTAATAGATTGAAATTTTAAAAAAAAATTTTCACATAATTATATAGGAGTTCCGTGTGAAAACATAATCCTTAACATTTTAATCAAAGATCATTTTAACTTAATTTAATTCAGGATAAAATTCAATTTTAACACATTAATTCATTTCTAATATTTCTTCTAATAATTTAAAACAGTGTAATCCAATTTAAAACAGCATAAATGACTTTTCCTAAATAACCCGTAATTATTTTAGATCCTGTAATTATAAGCTTAAGAAATTTGAAATTAAACAGAAATACTAGTTCGAAATTTTCAAAAAATCTTTTTTACGCAAAACTTCATAGTAGAGTTACACGTGAAAATATTTTTAGATCAAAAATTATATTAATTGCATTGAATTTCGAAATTAATTTCGTTTTGAAAATACTACAACATTTTTTTTCATTTCAATCAAAATTAAGAAAGAAACATAAAGGATTTTTTACCAAATACCTTTCAATGATTCTAATAGTAAATATTAAATCAGACTTTTATCAATCAATAAAACACTAAAATAAAATACAAACATTCATTTTAATGAACACAAATATATTAGAAGATGTTTATTTATGCATAATTTTTGTTGAACTTAAAGTATTTTAAATTTAATCAGTAACACAAGATAAAAGTATGCGTACCCAAGATTATAGATATTGATGCAAGATTTATCTAGTCCATATACTATACTTATTATCACTAAATCTTTTTTAGAAGAAACCTTGACCTAATCTTCTATTTCCTCGAATGCCGTTAAGTTCCGTAAGCCGATAAGTTCCGTGTTTTTCAAAAATATCTATTACATTGATAAAAAAAAAATTATTTTAAACGTCCAATAAAAAAAATAGTTCGATAATGAAATGACGTAAATCAATTTATTTGGAAAAAAATATTTATTACGTGTTTGCAAACTGATTTTATCTCCAAAAAGCAGACAATAAAACAAATAAATTTGAAACCTTGCACTTTACCCAACCTTCCTGATACATATTGATAATGAACTTATTATTTTGAGCCTTGCTCATAATGCGCATGAAAGAAAATCGACAAAGTTTGAAAAAAAATGGATATTTTTCGAAGAGCACGTTTAAAAAAAGAAGCTTGATATAAGTGTTTAAAGAAAAAACCCATAACTTTATATGCGTGCTTGAAAAGTTTGACCTAGCTAAAAATGCGCGTTAAAGAAAATGGATAAGTTTGAAAAAAAAATGGATATTTTTCGAAGAGCACGTTTAAAAAAAGAAGCTTGATATAAGTGTTTAAAGAAAAAACCCATAACTTTATATGCGTGCTAGAAAAGTTTGACCTAGCTAAAAATGCGCGTTAAAGAAAATGGATAAGTTTGAAAAAAAAATTATCTTTTTCAAAATGCACGTTTAAGAAAAGGAGCTTAATGTGCGTGTTTTCAAAAGAAAAAAAACCATAACTTAAAGTGCGTGCTTGAAAAGTTAGACCTAGCTAAAACTGCGTTTTAAAGAAAATGGACATGGTTTGAAAAAAAATTGATATTTTTCACAAAGCACGTTTAAAAAAACAAGCTTGATACAAGTATTTGAAGAAGAAGAAAGCTGTATCTTAAAATGCCTGCATGAAAAATTAGAACTAGTTCAAGCTTCCGAAAATGGACATCGCTAAAAATGCTTG